CAATTATCTCACACCAGAAGCGACTTGCAGTTTTTCAATTTGTTCCTGACACACACAAAAAAGTCAATTTATCCATCCTGTTTTTCCTGTAGCATTCAGCAGCAAGTTCCTCCCTGCAAGTATTTGCAAATACATAGCACTTTCCAGCTATATATACACCAGAATATACACCAGAATATATATATATATACCAGAACATATATATATATATACCAGAACATATATACACACACACACACACACACACACACACACACACACACGAACACACACACACACACACCAGAATATCAAGGCAGAAAATCCCACAATATCTGCTTTGAACTGGGTTATCTCAGTCCACACTGCCATATATTCCAGTTCGAAGCAGATAATGTAGGATTTTATTCAGCTGTGTGGAAAGGGCCTCAGTCTTCTCTGTTTTTTCTGTATCAGCCAACAGGATTTTTTAAAAAAAGACTATCTTACCAAGTACTGTTTCATACAGTGCTTTCGTATATCCTAAAATCAGAATGCATGCATTTACCGAGCTTGGAAGTGACTAGTTTCTTCCACTTCATCCCCCTTTTGCAATTATTTGATGAGGGATAACATCACCCTTTTTGCAATATAATGTAACTTTTAAGGAAACTGTTATACTGTAGCTACAGTGGTGTGGTCTTATTCAGTGGCAAAAAGGGGGATATCACAGAATTTAAGTGCTGCCTTATGCTATGCCTTCCTGCTCTGTTGAAGGCATACCTTCTCTATCAGCAGCCATGGGTTTGTAAGATTTGTGGATGAGGTTGTTAAGAAAACCAAAAATACATTACAATGCATGCACAAAACCACATATATATACGCAAATACACATATATACACATATATACAGGGTGAGGCAGCATAACTCCCTTTTTAAAAATGTGCGTCATTCAGTCGGAGCAGAGCGCTAGTGGTCTCGTTCAAGAGGCGGGAGTATAAAGTTTTGTCCTGCCACAATTCAGTCGCCATAGGAGCGTGCTTTTGCCGTTGAGGCCTACTTTTCGAGCGGATTTGGAGTGGCCGGCCCCCTCTCCAGATTTGGCCCCTTGTGATTTTTTTCTATGGGTTTTTTTGAAATCCCGTGTTTATGTGAACCGTCCAAGGACCCTACAAGATTTGAAGACCAACATCCAGGAAGAAATTGCCAACATAACGCCTGTATGCTGGCAAGAGTCATGACAAACGTCAGAAATCGGTTTACTCAGTGTATGGAGAATGGGGGACATCACCTACCTAATTTGATCTTCAAAACTACGTAAAACAAAACTTTAGGTATGCGCCTACATTATAATTTTTTTTCTGATTCATACAATGGGTTTTATTAAGTTTTGAAAAAAATAATAATATAATAAAACTTTATTTGTAACTCGCTACCATCTCCCCAAGGGACTCGGAAGTTATGCTGCTACACCCTGTATATGAAAACCATATGGGTTTTTTTCATTATTCTAAAAAATACCCTATATACATAAATAACCTATATAAATAAAAACGTAATGTTCGTTTGTGAGAATAATATAACTCAAAAACGACTGGACAAATTGACACCAAATTTGGACATAATACACCTATCAGGCCAATGAGTGACCATCACTCATAAAAACACTGAAAAACACGGCAGAAGAGACTTAAAAATCCAAAAAAAACCCCCCCCCCAAATACATTACAATGCATGTGCAAAACCATACATATATACAAAACACACATATATACACATACACACAAAATATATACACACAAAATACATCTACACAGACTGGGCCACAGCGAGTGGCAGGGGATAGCTAGTAATTCATAAATGAATATTTTCTCATTGCTTCTTTCTCTCCCCCACTTTTAAATTCTCACGGACTTTCAAATCTCTACATGCACTTTCTTTGCAATCCGCATCTTAATTGAAAAGATGTACTGTACTAAGGACCATTTCTTTTATATACAATGCAGTCATAAAATGCTGTGCTTTAGATAAAATGGCAAAATCAAGGTTTGCTTTTTTTTGGAATTTTAAGAGATATTTTAAGAGATTATTGGATCCATAGGTGCAGAATCCATGGATGCAAATTCAGATTTCCAATTGTACACAATGATAGTGCTATGATTCCACTTTAATATCTATGGCATTGTGGAATTTGCCATTTAGGGAGGGGTGCTTAGAATTCTTAGGCAGAGAGCTCTACTGCCGCACCAATTACAAACCCTGGTATTGTGTAGGATGTTGCCATGGCAGTGAAAGTGGAACAATAGTGCTATAATTGTGCAGTGTGAAAGGGCCCTTGTTGGCATATGTTGACCCTTGTCTGCAATTACTGTCAAAGTTGCAACTATACAAGCAGCAACTTGGCAGCTCAGAATGCAGAATCAGCAGGGAACTTCTGAATTTTCCCAATTACGCAAGCTGATGATAAAAGAAAAGTTATTATGCTACACATAATATTAAGGCTCTAGATATCTTTACCCACCAATTTACACTATGAAAGCTTTGCCATTAGCTTGCTGGCAAGCAAAACAGTTGGGAGGGTCTGAGAAAACAAGTATGAGGTAAGGAATATTTGACTTTTATTTTTCTTTTCTCCAAATCACGTCCCATCTGGAATCTTCTACATAAAGCTTAACACATGATTGAAGTCATGGATGGAATCCCCTGTCCTATTTTTCCCCCTAGATCTTTGTGGCAAGGGAGCACAAAGTGAAGAGGCAGAAGTATCATTTTCTTCATACTGTACTCATTCCAGCCTCCCTCCCTTTCTTGCTCTCTCTCCCTCTCTCTTTTCATGAAGTCAAACATACCAGGAATAAAAACCACCACAAAATCAATTAACCCAGTTACTCAAAGCAGATAAGAGGAAAGCAGACAGCACCCTTCCAAAGTCAACAAGAGCACGAGGCATGGAGACTGCTCCCAGGACCGTAGCCAGAAAAAAATTCCGGGGAGGGTTGAAAATTTCAGGGGGGGGGTGTGAAAATTTGGGAGGGGGGTTGAAACCTGCCTCCTAGCTCACGCTGAAGCAAAGAGCACAGCAGGGGGCAGAGCAGCCTTCAATAGCCTGCAGCTCCGCCCCTGTCAACCACCTCCACCAAGTCTGGCCTCCTTAATGAGAGCATTCAACACCCCCCAACTTGGTTGCTTCACTACATCGGCTATGGCTGCAAGTAATGACAGTGTGAATAAATTGTCAATATTTGCTTGAGATAGTGCTTACAGTTCTGGAGGGACTCTAATTTTTTGCATCTCATAGACTTAGCATGGGGATTTGGTTAACCAGTTAAAATTCATGAGTAAACCAGGTTTTTTTAACCTCAAAAATGGGGGGGGGGGTTGAACCCCTAAACCCCCCCCCCCCTTTCCCGGCTACAGGCCTGGCTGCTCCCTTGAAGCCCTAAAGCCCTGTACTCTGGCACTAGTGCTTAACTCAAAATGCTGCTTGTATGTAAAAGCAAAATCTGGGCCAAGTGACAGCTCTTAATGCAAAACACTCTTAAGTTGAGGTGCTCTTGAGTCAAGGTTCAACTGTATGCTGTTTCATTAGCTCCTTCACAGGAAGTAGCACTTAAAGGTAAAGGCTGTAAATTATTTAAATAATAATAATTTAAAGATGTAAATAATTTCATCCAATAATTAACTGCCTAAGAAAACTGCGTTGCAAGGTATAAATGCACATGCTTAAAGAGCTACATTATATATTTTCCATAAGCAAAATGTAATGGAAGAGACTTCACCTCTCAGGTGAAAAGCAATGCTGTCTTCTCTTGTGGGAAATGCTACATAATCTTAATTTTTCGAACTGCAATGACAAACCTTTGATGTAAATCACTACTAATTGCTTTCATTGTGCTTTTCTGAGATGTGAATAACTCCAGGATGTAGGAATCAAACAGATTACTGCAACGCACTCTACGTGGGGCTGCCTTTGAAGACTGCTCAGAAACTTCAACTAGTCCAACGGGCGGCAGCTAGACTACTCACTGGAGTGTCATACAGAGAGCATACCACCCCTCTGTTATGTCAGCTCCACTGGCTGCCGGTCCAATTCTGAGCACAAAAAAAAAGTCCCAGCTTACCTATCTGAATGTATTTCCCTCTACATCCCACCTCGAAATTTAAGATCTTCTGGGGAGGCCCTGCTCTCGGCCCCGCCTTTGGCGCAAACACGCTTGGTGGGGACAAGGGACAGGGCCTTCTCAGTGGTGGCCCTCCACCTGTGAAACTTGCTCCCCAGCGAAATCAGGTCAACAATGTCCCTCCTTGCCTTCAGGAGGTAATTGAAAACGTGGTTATGGGACCAGGCCTTTGGGTAGCTGGCAGATAATTGACAATGGTAATAATGATAATGTTATGGAAAATGAACTATGGAGCCCTAGTGTGGTTTTTCAGGATGCCCACAATATGAGCCTTACTTTGAGAATAAATACTACCTGGTCTCCCCCAAAACAAGCCCTAGTGTGGTTTTCCTGGATGCCCAGAATATAAGCCCTACTTGGAGAATAAGCCCTACCCGGTTTCCCCGAAAACAAGCCCTAGTGTAGTTTTTCAGGATGCCCACAATATAAGCCTTACTTTGAGAATAAGCCCTATCTGGTTTTCTTGAAAAGAAGCCCTAGTGTAGTTTTCAAGTATGTTCAGTATATGAGCCCTACTTTGAGAATAAGCCCTACCCAGTTTGTCTGAAAATAAGCCACAGTGGTTTTTCATGGAAATAAGCCCTAGCGTGATTTTTATGACACTCAATATATGAGCCCTACTTTGAAAATAAGCTTCTCCCAGAGTTCCCTGAAAAATAGACATATCCAGAAAATCTGACCTACCTTGAAAATAAGCCCTAGTGTGATTTTTCAAGGTGCTCAGTATATAAGCCCTACTTTGAGAATAAGTCCTACCGGTTTCCCTGAAAATAAGAACTACTCTGAAAATAAGCCCTAGTGTGATTTTTCAGGAGTCTTTCCATGCTTTTAACGATATCCTTGTGCCTCAAGCCCAGATCTTGACTTAATAGGAATACTTTATTTGGCAGTGGAACAAAACAAACAAACAACCCAGCATCATTCCATATAACTTAACACACAAAATCAAGCACCAAGTGCTCTTTATGGTTCTATACATTGTACAGTTCTATACATCGTGTATCTCGCAGAGACATTCATTGACACAGTGCTTCTTGGAGGACGGCGGCGTTGGTGGAGTCAGCCATTAAGATCATAAAATGACAGCCCAGGAATCGCAAACCTAGAAATAATAATAATAATAATAATAATAGTAATAATAAATATTTATTACCTGCCTCTCCTGTCAAATTCAAAAACAAARGAATACAACAAATTACATAGATAGAAAAAAAAACACACACATATATCTCTCTCCCCATTTATGGACTTTTGAAAATTGCGTTCACAATAAATAAATTCAATCTACAYGTTAATGAAGCAGAAATAATACAAAACATATAACACAAACATAATTATATAATATGTAATATAACTATATATGTAAATATATAATTATGTGTGTATATATCTAATATATGTGCCTATATGCATAKTTCTCTCTCTCTCTCTCTCTCTCTCTCTCTCTCTCTKTATATATATATATATATATCCATACATTCCTAGAGTCCAATAGCTGATCCTTTCTATATATAGACAGCCCCTTTGTGGCTGCATCTGAGCACTGCATACCTTGCAGGTCATGAGTAGGGTGGCCTCTCCTTCCATCTTGCTCGTAATGGCAAATTCGGGGCTTCCATGACAACGCTGGTTGTGTTCCATCATGGCCTCATCCAGCAGCAAGCGGAGCTTGTCTTCGGTCATCTCCTAAAAGAGAGCAGGAATCTTCATTCATCCAATTTTGGAGTGCAATGCAGTAGCGGACAAGGCCAATGTAATTCTAGCACTATAGTTTTGTGTTCGACAGGAGTCTCTCCCTCCGCAGATCAGCTTACCTGTGTGGCAATGCGTAACCCACATGGACACGCCACCAAGCGGCTTGTCACACCAAGCGAGTGCCTAGGAAAGAAGACCGAAGTTAAACTAGCCTCTGATGAAAACCAAAAGTAGCACAGCTTTATGCTTATTCTCTCTGTAAGAAGTCCATACCATAGAATTGTAGAGTTGGAAGGGAACCCCAAAGGCCATCCAATCCGCCCCCTCCCTTCTGCCAGGCAGGAAGATAGAATTACTATTATTATTTACATGTATATAACATAACAGCACACATGGACATAAGGTCTAAGTGTCTGGGATTCATCTCTGAATATTGGGCTCTTCCCAAGGGCCTCTAGGATATTGGAGGAATTATTATTACTATTACTACTCCTACTATCGTAGAGTTCAGCCTAACCCACTTCTGCCAGGCAGGAAGATAGAAGAATTATTATTATTATTATTATTATTATTATTATTATTATTATTATTTTGTTGTTGCTGTTGTTGTTGCTGTCGTTGTCCAACCTCTTTCTGCCAGGCAGGAAGATGGAATTAGGATATTATTTTTTGTTGCTGTTTATTCTTTCAGTCGCTTCCAACTCTTCATGACCTTATGGACCAGCCTACCCCAGAGCTCCCTGTTGTCCATGGCCACCCCCAGTTCCTTCAAAGTCAAGCCAGTCACATTATTATTATTATTATTATTATTTATCCTAGAGTTCAGTCCAACCCCCTTCTGCTAGGCAGGAAGACAGAATTGCTATCTTATTATTATAGTTAATATTGTTATTATCCTAGAGTTGGAAGGGAACCCAAAGACCATCCAGTCCAACCCGTTCCTGCCAGGTAGGAAGAAAGAATTGCAATAATAATAATAATAATAATAATAATAATAATAATAATAATAATAATATCATTATCATCATCATCCTAGAGTTGGAAGGGACGCCAAAGGCAATCCAGTCCAACCCCCTCTTGCCAATAAGGAAGAGAGAATTGCTATATTATTATTATAGTTAATATTATTATTCTAGAATTGGAAGGGACTATAAAGGCCATCCAGTCCAACTCCCTTCTGACAGGTAGGAAGATAGTGTTATTGTTATTGTTATCATCATCAACTAAGGGACCCCAAGGGCCACCCAGTCCCACGCTCTGCCATAAAGGGAGACACAATCTGATCCCTCCAGACAGAGGCCCACCCTGCTGCTGCTGCTACAAAGCCTCTTGTATGCCTGACCTCCTGCAAACAGGGCAGAGGATGCCTAGCCCTTCCTCCAGGCCTTGCAGCGTGGCCTTCAGGCTCTCCTCATCGAAGCGCAGGCTGTGTTCGTACTCCTCTTCCATGGCAGCCCGTTGTTGCTCTGAGAAGAGAGAAACGGTTGGGCAACATGGAGGAAAGAAGGAGGGAGGGAGGGAAGAAAGAAAGAAGGAAGGAAGGCAAGAAGGAAAGGAAGGAAGAAAGAAAGGAAGGAAGGAAGGAAAGAAGGAAGGAAAGAAGAAAGCAAGGAAGGAAGGAAGGAAAGAAGGAAGGAAGCAAGGACGGAAGGACGGAAGGGTACCTTGCCAGATCAGCTCCTGCTGGATCTCCTCCAGGATGGCCAGCTCAGAGTCCTCCAGTGCCTGGAAAGGAAGCACTGCAAGTCGGCTGTGGTTGGATGGGAGACCCAGGCCAACAACAGAGTCGGGTGGCATCTTCCTTTACGGCTGAATGGGGTTGGAATGGATGGCCCTTGGGGATCCCTTTCTACTCTAGGGTCCTATGATTTTTAACAGAGGCTAGATGGCCATCTGTCAAGAGGGATCAGGTACTGCTTTTCCCACTTGGCAGAAAGTAGGGGGCTGGACTGCAACAACAACAACAATGTAATTCTATCTTCTATCTTCCTGCCTGGAAGAATAAGGTTGGACTGAATGGCCACTTGGGGTCAAAATCTAGGAATAATAATAATAATAATAATAATAATAATAATAATAATAATATAGTAATTCTATCTTTCTGCCTGGCAGAATAAGTTTAGACTGAATGGCCACTTGGGGCCCCCTCCAACTCTAGGAGAATCATCATCGTTATCATCTCACGATCATGGAAAAAACAAGTATGGATCGTTGATGTTGTAATCCCAGGTGACAGTGGAATTGACGAGATGCAACTGGAAAAGCTCACACGATATGAGGATTTAAAGGCAGAACTGCAAAGACACTGGAACAAGCCAGTAAAGGCGGTCTCTGTGGTGATCGGCTGCAAAAGGCCACCCTACTCGGATCTGCACGCATTATTCACCTATACATCACACAATCTGAGATACTTGGGAAGTGTCCAACATATGATCAAATTCAAAAGCCAACATAGTGATCTTGTTGGCTGTGGACTAATCTTGTTATGCATCAAACACTAATCATCATAATAATATAGTCATTCTATCTTCCTGTCTGGCAGAATAAGGTTGGGCTGGATGGCTTGTGGAGGTCCCTTCCAACTCTAGGAGAATAATAATAACAATCATATCATTCTATCTCTGCCTGGTGGAATAAGGTTGGGCTGGATGGCCTCTGGGGGTCCCCCCATCTCGAAAGTATGGAACAAACCTCTGCAAAGGCCTCTGCCTTCCATTCCACCTCCATCACTTCTTGCACCAAAAGGGTCTCTTTATCTTCCCTAAAAGTGGCATTGTCTCCTGCTTTTCGGTATCTTTCCAGCAGCCGAGCCCTGCTGTTCTTCAGCCTTTCGGCACAGCGCTGGGGAGAGAATATTATTATTATTATTATTATTATTATTAATATTACATATTTTATCCCTCTTAAAGAGGCACACAGTGGTAACAATTTCGCATTACAAATCAAAACCTAAAGACTATAAATGTAAAAGTTCAATAAAAGCTAGTACTATTGAAATAATAATATTTATTTATTATATTATCAGAAAACATATTATTGTTATATTACATATTATATCCCTCTTAAAGAGACACACAGACTACAAATGTGAAAACTAAACCAAACCTAGTACAATCAAAATAAAAAATAATTATATTATTATTATTATTATTATTATTATTATTATTATTATTATTGAGTTTCTCATGAATCAGAAAAGTGCACCACACACGCACGCACACACACATACATGTTTTGGTCACAATACATATAGGATAAGTAAGATAGACCAAGTAACATATTATTACCATTATTATAATTGCCATTATTATTATTGCACTGTCTTTTCTCCCCACAAAGGATTATTACACCAATTATAATAATTTGAGTCTTAACGTTTGGATCAAGAGTTAAAATGTGAACAGTTGCAAAGTACTAGAAGTTAAGCACAGTGTTTATCTATGGATATTTCATTCTATATTTATGGTGTACTAGCTGTCCCCTGCCAGGCATTGCTGTGGCCCAGTCTGTTGATCTGGAAAATAAAGTAATAAGAAAGTGTTGGTTTCTAATATATGTAATGTCTTTCTGCTTATCGGTAAAGAGTATTTCTTGCTGTTTCTTTGTCAGTGTTGATGTGGAGAGTGTCTGGTTTGCCTACTTTGTAACATGCAACATATAATTGTCCTTCTTCAGGGGTCCCTTTCCAGTCTATGATACAATATCTCTCTGTGTGTGAATCATATATCTATATCTATGGCTGAATATCTATTTGTCAGGAGGGCTTTGATTATGTTTTCTTGCCTTTGACTGTGTGGATCATAATAAACTGTGGCAAGTTCTTGGTGGGATGGGCATACCAAGCCACCTTGTCTCTCTCCTGAGGAATCTGTACAAGGACCAAGTAGCAACAGTAAGAACTGACCACGGAACAACAGACTGGTTCAAGATTGGGAAAGGCGTACGGCAAGGCTGCATACTCTCACCCAACCTTTTTAACTTGTATGCAGAACACATCATGCGATGTGCGGGGCTTGATGAATGCAAAGCTGGGGTGAAAATTGCTGGAAGAAACACTAACAACCTCAGATATGCAGATGACACCACTCTGATGGCCGAAAGCGAGGAGGAGCTGAGGAGCCTTCTAATCAAGGTGAAAGAAGAAAGCGCAAAAGCTGGGTTGCAGCTAAACATCAAAAAAACAAAGATTATGGCAACAAGAATGATTGACAACTGGAAAATAGAGGGAGAAAATGTGGAGGCCGTGACAGACTTTGTATTTCTAGGTGCAAAGATTACTGCAGGTGCAGACTGTAGCCAGGAAATCAGAAGACGCTTACTTCTTGGGAGGAGAGCAATGTCCAGTCTCGATAAAATAGTAAAGAGTAGAGACATCAGACTGGCAACAAAGATCCGCCTAGTCAAAGCCATGGTATTCCCTGTAGTAACCTACGGATGTGAGAGCTGGACCTTAGGGAAGGCCGAGCAAAGGAAGATAGATGCTTTTGAGCTGTGGTGTTGGAGGAAAGTTCTGAGAGTGCCTTGGACTGCGAGAAGATCCAACCAGTCCATCCTCCAGGAAATAAAGCCCGGATGCTCATTGGAGGGAAGGATACTAGAGACAAAGTTGAAGTACTTTGGCCACATCATGAGGAGACAGCAAAGCCTGGGGAAGACAATTATGCTGGGGAAAGTGGAAGGTAAAAGGAAGAGGGGCCGACCAAGGGCAAGATGGATGGATGGCATCCTTGAAGTGACTGGACTGACCTTGAAGGAGCTGGGGGTGGTGACGGCCGACAGGGAGCTCTGGCGTGGGCTGGTCCATGAGGTCACGAAGAGTCGGAGACGACTGAACGAATGAACAACAACATGGCTGAATGGCTCTTTGTCAGGAGGGCTTTGATTACGTTTTCATGCCCTGGTGAAGGGAGTTGGACTGGATGGCCTTGAGTATTTTCTGTTAGTCATTGGGGTTCTGTGTGGGAACTCTGGCCCAATTCTGTCATTGGTGGGGTTCAGAACGCTCTTTGATTATAGGTGAACTATAAAGCCCAGTAACTACAACTCCCAAATGTCAAGGTCTATTTCCCCCAAACTCCATCTGTGTTCATATTTGGGTATATTGAGGATTTGTGCCAAGTTTGGTCCAGATACATCATAGTTTGAGTCCACAGTGCTCTCTGGATGTAGGTGAACTACAACTCCCAAACTCAAGGTCAATGCCCACCAAACCCTTCCAGTATTTTCTGTTGGTCATGGGAGTTCTGTGTGCCAAGTTTGGTTCAATTCCATCGTTGATGGAGTTCAGAATGCTCTTTGATTGTTGGTGAACTATAAATCCCAGCAACTACAACTCCCAAATGACAAAATCATAATTTTTGAGTGATGGTCACTCCTTGTGTTGTGAGACGTTTTGTTGCCAAATTTGGTGTGATTTCGTTCATTGGTTCTTTTGTTTTTAAGGTACTCATTATGCACAGAGCATTTTATCTATATAGATATATCTTCATATAAGGGCAAACTCGGGCCCTCCCTCCAGGTGTTGTGGACTGCAACTTCCATAAATCCTAACTGTCCCAAGTTTGCCCATGCCTAGAATAGATTTTTTTGGGGAGGGGCAACCCGGCGGGCTGGAGGACCCAGCGGGCGCCTCCTTTGGAAGGTTGGGAGGCGGAGCCTGGGCTGTTTGGTGTACGGAAGGGAGGCTTCCGCAGGGTCCCAGCGTCCCCCCCCTCCTCGCCAAGGCTGACCTGTCGGAAGGCGTCCTTCCAGGGCGGCGGAGAGGCTCCTTTGGAAAGAGAGCGGTGGCGCTGAAGCGAGGCTGCCTCCATCCTCTGCCGCCTGCTCCTCATCCGGGTCCCACGGGGAGGCAGCCTCCCCGCAAAGCACGCTGGGGAATGAAGTCCCTCCGGCCAAGACAGCCCGCCCTCTCCGGGCAGCCTCTTCCTGCCGTTGCATGACGGGAAGGGGAGTTGAATCACCATCAGAAGAATGATGGAATTGGGCCAAACTTAGCACACAGGGCTCCCATGACCAACAGAAAATACTGGAAGGGTTTGGTGGGCAGTGTCCTTTGGTTTTGGAGTTGTAGTTCACCTACATCCAGAGATCACTGTGGACTCAAACAATGATGGATCTGGACCAAACTTGGCAAGGATTCCATATGCCTAAATATGAACACAGATGGAGTTTGGAGGAAATAGACCTTGACCTTTGGGATTTGTAGTTACTGGGATTTATGTTCACCTACAATCAAAGAGCATTCTGAACTCCACCAATGATGGAATTGAACCAAACTGGGCACACAGAACTCCCATGACCAACAGAACACACTGGAAGGGTTTGGTGGTCATTGACCTTGAGTTTGGGAGTTGTAGTTCACCTACATCCAGAGAGCACTGTGGACTCAAACAATGATGGATCTGGACCAAACTTGACACAAATATTCCATATGCCTAAATATGAACACAAATGGAGTTTGGAGGAAATAGACCTTGACATTTGGGATTTGTAGTTACTGGGATTTATAGTTCACCTGAAATTAAAGAGCATTCTGAAACCTACAAATGACAGAAATGGGACAAATTTCCCACACAGAACCCCCATGACCAACAGAAAATACTTAAGGCCATCCAGTCCAACTCTCTTCACCAGGGCAAGAAAATGTAATCAGAGCCCTCCTGACAAAGAGCCATCCAGTCATAAATATAGATAGATAGATATGATTCTCTCTCTCACACACAGATATAGTATCATAGATTTGAAAGAGACCCTTAAAGAAGGACTATGATATGTTGCATATTCCAGAGCAGGCAAACCAGACACTCCACATCAACACTGACAAACAAACAAGAAATACTGTTTACTCACAAGCAGAAAGACATGACATATATTAGAAACCAACACTTTCTCATTACTTTATTTTCCAGATCACCAGACTGGGCCACAGCAATGCGTGGCAGGGGACAGCTAGTAATAAATAAAAATAATAAATAATGAAAACCAAGAACCTGCTTTAATGGAAGTCAATGATCAGAAACTTCTCAAAGCACAACAGACAAAGAGTCAGTACAAGAAAACTGCACTCCAAACCAGAGCTGACAGCTGGCACAACAAAGCCTTACATGGGCAGTTCCTTGAGAAGATTGAAGGAAAAGTTGACAAGGAGAAGACCTGGTTATGGCTCACGAATGGAATCCTGAAGAAGGAGACAGAAGGCCTGATTTTTGCAGCCCAGGGGCAAGCCATCAGAACCAATGCAACTAAGGCCAGGGTTGAAAAATCAGTGGATGACTCAAAATGCGGACTGTGCAAGGAAGCTGATGAAACCATGGATCATCTCCTCAGCTGTTGCAAGAAAATTGCACAGATGTACTGCAAACATAGACACAACTATGTGGCCCAAATGGAACTTATGTCACAAGTACCACCTGCCAGCAGTAAAGAATTGGTGGGATCATAAACCTGCAAAGGTAGTGGAAAATGAACATGCAAAAATACTGTGGGACTTTCGAATCCAGACTGACAAAGTTTTGGAACACAATACACTAGACATCACAATTGTGGAAAAGAAAAAAGTCTGGATTATTGATGTCGCCATACCAGGTGACAGTTGCATTGAGGAAAAACAACAGGAAAAACTCAGCCGCTATCAAGACCTCAAAATCGAACTGCAAAGATTCTGGCATAAACCAGTACAGGTGATCCCAGTGGTCATTGGCGCACTGGGTGCTGTGCCAAAAGATCTCAGCCGGCACTTGGAAACAATAAACATCAACAAAATCACGATCTGTCAACTGCAAAAGGCCACCTTACTTGGATCTGTGTGCATCATTCAAAAATGCATCACACAGTCCTAGACGCTTGGGAAGTGTTCGACTTGTGTTTTTGTGATACGAAATCCAGCATATAGATCTCATTTGCTGTGACATACAGTGCTGTTGTGTCAGAATAATAATAATAATAATAATAATAATAATAATAATAATAATAATAAAAAGAAAAGTCCCCACATGAACCTATAAACTCATTAAAATGTATATATTTGATCCCATTAATCCCATTAACCTTGTACTCCCTAGTTGTTGAATAAGGCCAAACGTAAGAGCCAGGAGTTGTAATAATGCTTTCACTCCTAAGTCCACTCACCAGCATGCCAGTAACTCCACAGAAGCCTACTGGCTTGGTCCAACTGATCTATTTGTAAGAAATAAAAGTCTCCTCCAGGATGTAAAAAAAACCCCACAGTAAAACAGTGAAGTTGAACCCTTCTAAGAACAACTACATTTCTCTCCTGAAGTCAGAAGCCGTGTAATAATTGTATAGAGGTAGAAGGCAGAATTCTGGAAAACGTTCAGACAATGTTACTTGTGATCCTCCACTGCCATCTACTGCATAGCTGAACTAAAAATGAGAGACATTTTTCCACATCTTATTTCAAGTAACAACCCTCCATGACAGGAGCCTTTGGACCACCCTAATTTGGAAACAATTAGGTTATGCAACAGTAAATCCCTCAAAGATGGATTTATATACATATGTGTGCCTTATCACAGAACTTGATAGCCACAAAGTAGGGATGGTTTGTTGTGATATTCTCTTTTTTTCACTTTCATCCACTGCCCCAAGCCCATGTTCCAACACAAAGACCAAGTAAGAACAAACGGGGAGGGGAAAAAATACAACATTTTAAAAGCAGTTGAAAATGTGGGTTTACGAGAAAGAATTGGGACTGTCCTTGCTAAATCAGTGAATCTGCTGGTATGTCATACCATAGTTAACAGTTAAAAGTTAGCAGTGTCTTATCTCTAATTTGTTCCGGCCCAGCTAATTTGTTCCAGCCCAAATTATCTATCCTAAATGGTTCCGGTCCAGCTTATCTATCCGAACACATCTCTCCCTATGAACCCTTTAGGAAATTGAGATCGTCTGAGGTGGCCCTGCTCTCGATCCCGCCTGCTTCACAAGCACGTTTGGCGGGGACAAAAGACAGGGCCTTCTCTGTGATGGCCCCTCGGCTGTGGTACTCCCTGCCTAGGGAAATTAGATCGGCCCCCTCCCTCCTGACCTTTCGAAAAAGAGTGAAAACCTGGCTCTTTAAGCGTTTGGAACCACAGCATGACCAGAAAAACTCAAATCGGAAAATGAACTAGGAACAGCTAAGACGATGGAATGGTTGCGGATTTGAACAAAAAGACATAGTTTTTATAATTTTTATTATTCATTGCTTTTATGGTTTTTAAATGTATTGTGATGTTTTTGCTTTTTATTGATGTATGTATTTTTATATATGGCATCTAATTGTTGCCAACTTGTACGCCACCCTGAGTTGCCTTCGGGCTGATATGGGCGGGATACAACAACAACAACAAAACTTTATTTATATACCGCTCTATCTCCCCGAGGGGACTCAGAGCAGTTTCCAAATAACATAATCAATACATACAAGGAAAACAGCATAAACATAAAATTAACAAGACAATATAAGCATTAAAAACCACAATAGCACATATATATTTTAAATAAATAAATAAATAAATAGTGTCTAAAATGTGATAATTATTATATTTGTTGTATTGCTTTATTCTTAAAATGTATGAGTCGTATGACTGTGTTTGTGTCATTTCTTGTTGCATTTGCTTTTTGCTAATATTGTTACATTTGGCTGACTTGACTCTATGAGAACATACTATACTAAAGCTTAAAAGATGAGTATATAAATTCATCTTTGAGTGGACCAGTTTCTTAACTGCTTTCTTAGTAAACCACAAGAGGGCATCACTGCCTTCCTAAATATGGTGCCTGAGATTGCTTGCTCCCATTTATATTCAATTCATAGCAGAATGAGCCATCTTTGGTTGCCATGGATTTCATTTGTGATTTTATATAGATGTAGGTCTTCCCGTCTGAAAGAGAGACATTCACTGATCATTGAGAAAAATAGAGCAAACTATAAACCATGCAGAGGAGGAGATCCAAAAAGCAACTTAAGTAAGTTTACCATCTGCATCCTCAAATTCTGCATCCATAGATTTTTCAAAAATCCCAACAGCAAACTTTGAGTGTAAAGGTGATACACAAAATACTAAAGAAAGAGGAAAAAAATCAAACACACATAACACAAATACATTGCAAAATTCCCATTGTGGCTACTTTAATGCAACTCTTGAAAATTAGATGCCCCAATAAATTTGTGAACATTATGTTGTTCCTCCACAATGACACAGGGGCGGCTCAACCCATTACGCAAAGTAAGCATTTGCAGTATAGTTGATTTTGCCCAGGGGCGCTCTTGAGGCGCTCTTGGGGGAAAATAGACCTTGACATATGCGAGTTGTAGTTATTGGGACGTATAGTTCACCTACAATCAAAGAGCATTCTGAACTCCACCAATGATGGAATTGAACCAAATATGGCACACAGAACTCCCACGATGAACAGAAAATATATATCAGTGATTGGTTGGGGGGGGGAGGGTACTGTTTGCTTACTGTTGAAAATTACCTAGAGCCGCCTCTGCAATGACATGATGGCAATAGTCACAGCAATGGCTCCCAAAGTGACCCTTTTAAAGTGGTGTCAAACAGGGATGCATTATTGCCCCAAACTTATTTTTAATCTTAATCACTACAATTCTATATTTTGTTGATGGAAAGCTTCCCGCCTCACTCCTGGCTCACTCATCCAAGGCAGGAGTATTCAAATATCACCAAATGCAGAGACCTAGTTTCTTTTTGTTTACACTCTTTTGAAGGAGAAATCCAATCTTTTCAAGGAGAAAAAGAACACATGTCCTCATTGCATAAATTGTGGAATAGTCTGATATTCTTTGATGTGCTTATGAAAGATATAAATGCTTCTTGGAAGAAAGCAGCTAATTCAGGGTATCCTGAGAGAGCAG